TCGGATTTTAGCTATTCAGAGGAGACTTGAGGTATAACTGCATGGCGTCTGCAGTTCTGAAATCCCCGTCTATTTTACTTTAGTTGTGTGTTTATTTCCAGATAGCTTTATTTTATTCAGACCTTTATTTGTATTATTCTAGAAGGTCGTGCACTTGTAACATCAAATTCTGGGATAGTATTTAGATACCGTTATTTTTATGAATTATTTCACTATATTTCAAACTTTGCTTCCGCTTTTGGTTCCTTGATTATTAATAATGTAAAAATTATTTAAAAATTGGTTAATATTATTTTAACGTTGGTTTGCCTAGTAAGTGAAATGTTAGGCGTCATCACGTTCCAAAGGTGGAAATTTCGGGTCGTGACAAACGTAATTTGTGCAAATCACATGATTAAAACGCAAGAGTCTACTATGGTATAACGAGATTATTCTTTGTAGATGCCTCCGGCGGAATCAAATTAATATTTCTATGTCATGCCTTACTTGCAAATATCATATCAAGAGGCATGGTACTGTTAGCAATAATAACAAGTGGTATACCAATAATGATTTTATTATGAGACCACCCAATTTAGATTTTATATACCTCTTCAAACAATTTAAATAACCATCACAAATATATCAAAGCACACCAATGGTGCTAAATTTATAAGGAAAGAAAAATTGATAATATGGGATGAAGCACCTATGGCTAAGTGTCAAACGATCGAAATAATTGTCCGAAGTTTTAGAGATATATTGGATATCAATGAATCGTTTGGTGAAAAATTAATGGTTTGGGAGGTGATTTCTGTCAAGTACTACTAGTAGTTCCGAAATCGACAAAAGCAAAGAATGTAAAAGCTAGCTTGCCAAAGTTATACTTCTCGCTTCGAACGAAAAAGATTCAACTGACAAGAAATATAAAGTAAGAACAGATCAAATATTTAGTGTCTTCTTGTTTCGTGTCGAAAACGAAGAAGAGCATCCAATAAAAAGATAATTTGGTTATTCTTGAACACTTGTTTATCAATCCCAATGGTAATAATAGTGCATTTAATAAGAGAAATATATCATTAGATTAAAATACAATTTGTGCAAATTACATGATTAAAATGCAAGAGTCTACTCTGGTATAACGAGATTATTCTTTGTAGATGCCTCCGGCGGAATCGAATTAATATTTCTATGTCAAGTCTTACTTGCAAATATCATATCAAGAGGCATGACACTATTAGCAATAATAGCAAGTGGTGTACCAATAATAATTTTATTGTGAGACCGCCCACTTTAGATTTTATATACCTCTTCAAATAATTTAAATAACCATCACAAATATATCAAAGCACAATAATTGTGCTAAATTTATGAGGAAAGCAAAATTGATAATATGGGATGAATCACTATGGCTAGGTATCAAATGATCGAAATAATTGTCCGAAGTTCTAGAGATATATTGGATATCAATGAACCGTTTGATGAAAAATTAATGGTTTGGGAGGTGATTTCTGTCAAGTACTACTAGTAGTTCCAAAATCGATAAAAGCAAAGACTGTAAAAGCTAGCTTGCCAAATTTATACTTCTAGCTTAGAACGAAAAAGATTCAACTGACAAGAAATATAAAGTAAGAACAGATCCAGTATTCAGTGTCTTCTTACTTCATGTCGGAAACGAAGAAGAGCATCCAATAAAAGATAATTTGGTTCTTCTTGAACACTTGGTTATCAATCCCAACGGTAATAGTTGTGCATTTAATAAGAGAAATATTTATATTATTAGATTAAAACGCAATTTGTGCAAATCACGTGATAGAATTTAAAAGATATATTAGCTAGCAGAAATGAATACATTGATAAACTTAATAAAATGTTAATTGCAAAGTTTTATAGTAAAACAAAATATTTTTTAGTTTTTGACTAAGCATAAAACAACAACAATAATAACAACAACCTAGTATAATCCCACTAGTGGGGTCTGGGGAGGGTAGTGTGTACGCAGACCTTACCCCTACTTGGGGTAGAGAGGCTATTTCCGATAGACCCTCGGCTCCCTCCCTCCAAGAACTCCCCACCTTGCTCTTGGGGTGACTCGAACTCACAACCTCTTGGTTGGAAGTGAAGGGTGCTTACCACTAGAGCAACTCACTCTTGGTTGGAAGTGAAGGGTGACTAAGCATAAAATGATACCAATAATTACTACCAAATATATTAGTTAAATACTTTAATACCAAATGGCCTTTTACCACACATATTTGTTGTCAAGTTTCTTATTTCTTACGTATGTTAGTGTCACTGTATATATATAATAGACTAAGTTAAAATTGATCTTCCATTGTATATAGGTTAATTTTGAAGAAAAATATGACTGTCATGCTATTGAAAAACTTAGATAAGCCGAATAGCTTATGTAATAGCACACAAATAGTTTATAGAAGTTTTGACAATAACGCCATACATACAAAATTATGATATTGGTTAATGTGCTTCTAAGTATATTCTTATCCCCGAATTCAACTTTCGTCTTCCGAAACTAAGGAGTATCCTTTTAAATTTGTGTGAAAATAATTTTTAGTATGTTTATGTTTCGCATATATAATAAATAAAGCATAAAGACAAGCATCCTAAATATTGGACTATATTACCGCAATATGTTTTCTTGCACGAACAACTGTATGTTGCACTTTCAAGAGGGATATCGAGATTGACAACAAGAGTTCTGGTTAAGGCAAAGCAACCAACGAATTAGGAAGAAATATACACACAAAAAATATTGTCCACAAAGAAATGTTCGTTAAGATAACATCACAATAAATACTTTTAAACTATAATATATAATTATCTAACTAACATGATAAAATTGATCATTTGTATAAGTTTTGATGATGTCCTTTTATTTTAAGTTCATGTATTATTCTAATGTAATAATATTTTTCNATATATATAATGGTCAATCATTTTTGTCAGGTTTCTGCTTAATACACAAAAATATACATATATTACTTTTATAAGTGATAGTATTGTGTATTAAATAATAAATATGATTCCTTTACTTTGTTTACACATATAGAACTTAAAACTCTTTAAAACAAATGTTTCCGCATCTTTTTATTTAACGCTTATAAGTGTCTAGTGCGGATTTAGAGTATAGTATATGGGTTCTCAGGCATCAAATAACTTTTACGCAAATTATGTGTTTTTATTAAAAATTTACTAAATATTTATAAATATTTAACTGTAAACCCAATTATTATTATCTATTAATTTTAAATTACAAGAGGACCTACTTTCAAATTCTGAATCGGCTCTAGAGAACTTTTCTTTTGGGAATGAGACTACCCATGTGGAGGGAATTCAAGCCTTTAAATGAACTAGTACTGGGATTCTTTTATCTGTACTGTGCAAAAGCGACAATTTTGAATGTTATTAAATTCATCTTAATAAATTCATGATATTGGAGAAGGAAATAAAGGAATAAAACTAATTAATCTTATTTTAGTCCAAGTTATAAATGATGGAGAGAGAGAAAAGAATGAAAATTCAAGTTAAGCACGCAAGAAAATTAAATGGTCATAAATTTCATCTTAATAGAAAACCTAGTTTTACTCACCTTGATCATAAAATTTATCTTGTAATTTTACTTTGTATTTCTATAATAAGTTATTTTTACGAATTGAACTCGTGACCTTCTAGCGATCACTTACACGACAACTATACTTTTATAGTTGCGCCAAAACACTTCTTCTAAGACTGTGTTTATCATAAGATAATTCTCTGATTTATTTTATACGAGTACTTTATCACGTAAATTTTTTGTAATAGTTTAGATTTTCCTTAAAAAAAAATATAGTATTAAAAGAAATTAATTTTTTATATATGAAAAGTATTCCAATTTTGAAGCATTGGAATGCACTTGAGAATTGACCACACGTAAATCTCAAGAAACCACAATATAGGGTTAGTTAGCAGCATGTGGGGTGCATATTCCATTATTTCACTAACCAAACTAAAGCTTTCTTTTCCGTAGTCTCAACCTTTCTAGTACTAGTACTATTTACTATTCCAATTAAAAAAAGTTATTGCTTATAGACAAAGGGAAGGAGAAATGTGACTTTCAAAGCAATATCACATGCAAATGGAGAGTATATAGTGAGCAATTAATATGAGAGATCCGAGTTCAAAAAAAAAAGCAGGCGATTTTTTTCCGATTTACCTAAATTTTGATGGACTGACTTACCCTATATATGTAGTGGAAATGATTCAAGGTAGCAACTTTTAAGTATGTTATTTAAAATATATTCACAACTTATAATGTATTTAAAGATTAGCCAATTCGTTCAAACTTCAGGACACACTTTAAATCTCAAAGTTCGAACTTCAGGACATCGTGTCCTAAAGTTCAAAAATTGCATCCAAAAGTTCGAATCCTATGTCCTGAATTTTATATTACTAGTTCAAATATTCAAGACACTTAGTCCTAAATTTCAAATTAGCAGCTGACACTAAGTCCTGAATTTCAAATTCTGGATACTTAGTCCTGAAGTTTGTGTGAGTTGGCTAATCTTTAAATACATTATAAATTGTGGATATATTTTAAACAACGGGCTTAAAAATGGCTATTGGTGCATTTCGCCCGACATCTGTACCTAGTGAGAGGTATAACCGATACTTAATTGACAAAATAGTCAAAGTATGCACAAACTCGGGAAAAAGTCTCTCTATCTTCTTAAAGTAGAGATAAGGTCTGCGTACATATTATTCTCTCCAAACCGCACTTATGATATTATACTGGATTTATTATTGTTTTTAGTTAAAGTATGCACAAAAGGATCAAGATATACTACCATTAAAAACAACAAAACTAGTGAGCTATTTATCTAAGGCTTACTCCCCCTATATACCCCACCACCAATAGAGGCAGCCAATATTGATGATCTCATGAATTTTAACTTTATACTTTCTCTATCCTAAGCCATCTCTACATCATTCATATTCATACTATAAAACTAAACCCTTTTCTTTCACTTTTTTCCCCTCCCATTTCCCCCTACCTAACACCTATAGAGTAGTTATCACCAAGAAATTCATTTTTATGTGAATTCTGATCTATCATCACTTTCAGAAGAGTCTTAGTTCTAAAACCATGGGTGGTGACAACACTGAGAAGGTATGCTTGCTCTCAATCTCCTTCAATTTTTCCTCCTACGTCGAAAATTATACTGTACAAACAAAGTAAATTACGGAATCGCCTTTATATAAGGGAAGGTTTGTGTAGTAATTAACAAAGATGGTTCAAAATGGTATTAGGTAACATGTTTGAATTTCAAGCATGATATGTTTGCATTTATTGAAATCTCTTAGAATTTATGGCTATGTCACTGTTTAAATTTGTAATAGTATATTTCTTGACCAATAACTTAGAGTAATTCTTTTGTGAAATAGACTACCGTAATGGTGCTAAAGGTTGATCTTCAATGCTCAAGCTGCTACAAGAAGGTCAAGAAAGTTCTTTGCAAATTCCCTCGTGAGTCTCTTTTTGCAACTCTAAATTTAATTTTCTTTTACAATTTTTCACATACGTATGTCTCTTTATAAATTTATCTAAAGTATGCCATTTTCTTAATTTTTTTCCTTCCCTTTGAAAGTTCACTTTTTCATTTTTATATTTCAATGAATAATGAGGATACTACTATTAATAAGGACAAGAATATGTATGGATGAGAACTGAGTTTGGTTTTTTTCTCTTTTATCCTTTTTGGTGTGTGGTATTAAATATTTTGGACAAAAGAAATTCGAGATCAGGTGTACGATGAGAAGGCCAATACTATCACCATTACTGTATTGTGTTGCAATCCTGAAAAAATTCGTGACAAATTGTGTTGCAAAGGAGGGGGAGTGATCAAGAGTATCGAGATCAAAGAGCCTCCAAAGCCTAAGGCTCCCGAGAAGCCCAAAGAGCCCGAGAAGCCCAAAGAGCCCGCAAAACCTAAAGAGCCAGAGAAACCTAAGGAGCCCGAGAAGCCCAAGCAGCCCGAAAAGCCTAAAGAACCAGAAAAGCCCAAGCAGCCTGAAAACCCCAAAGAGCCCGTGAAGTCTACGGAACCCGAGAAGCCGAAAGAACCGGAAAAACCAAAAGAACTCGCGAAACCTAAGGAATCTGAGAAGCCCAAAGAGCCAGAAAAGCCCAAACAGCCCGAGAAGCCCAAAGAGCCAGAAAAGCCCAAACAGCCTGAAAAGCCCAAGGAACCCGAGAAGCCCAAACAACCTGAAAAGCCCAAAGAACCTGAGAAGCCCAAGGAAGCTCCTAAACCCGCACCGGTAGCTCCACCACCACAACCACAAGCACAACCACCACCTCCGTATGCGCCAGAGCCAGTGATAGTGATGCCAATACAAGGATACCCGCAACCACCCCCTCCCGGATATGGTTGTTGTGGGCAATGTTACGAAGGCTATCACGGAGGCCCATGTTATCATTGGTATGGAAGACCAGTACAACCCGCACCACCATCGGGCCCATGCTACGATATATATTCGTATGGTTACGGGCCCGGGCCTGTTCCATATGGACTGCCAAGAGGCTGCTATGTAAGCAAATGCAATGAATATTTCAGTGAAGAGAATGCAGCTGGATGCTCAATTATGTAAACATGACAAGAGAGTGGGCCCATTCTGTGGGCCATTGTCTGGGCCCATGTCACCTTTTAATTGGGCTCTTATCCATCTGTCTACCTTTTAGCATGTTATTATCATAGATACAAAAAACAATGCATAAGGCCTACTTTTAATAGAAAAGTTTATAGAGAAAATAATTTGGTGACCAGATGACTGGTTTACTGTCTTGTTATATAATTCGTTAAATATTTTTATAATAAAAACACTTTGTTAATCATTCTCTTTTTCATGATATAAAAGATTATTCTTTTTTCTAATTTAATTTTTTGTTGTAGCAATTTACATCTATTATTCCATTTAGCATCCACCACTTTGTGAATTGAATTTCTTTTCTACTGTCTAGTATATGGACCCACTTATGAGACCTCGAGTAGATGGACCCCACTTATGAGATCGCGTTACATAAGATATGTTTTTGTTGTTGGTCTCGAGTGGATGGTGAGTTGATCGAGGCTTAGAGATGTTAAAGTGACAATCTCTAAGAGTATTTCAATGCAGTATAAATTTAAATTAAACTCTTAAAACTCAAGTGGATTGACAATTATGAAAAGCAAGTGAATAATAATGAAGCCAACTCTTTGTTGTTGTTGAGACAATTTGGTTCTAAGAAAGTGGTTTTTGATTAAAAACAGTATCATTAAAAACATGCTTATTATCTCTATTATATTGGTCTTTATTGGTTAATCATTGCTATTCAATATTCAATGATGTAACGATGCTGTTAGAAACCTAACATAGAAGTCTTAAATTTTGGGTTTCCGTATTACTCGTAATTAATATATTTTCACACACTCGACTCAATAAAAAGAAACTAGACATGGTATAAGAATATTAATGTTCAATGTCTAGATAATCAATAGCTTGAAAAATTATTTTCATATTTATCTATTTTATTATTGAGTTTTTTCTACTATAAACAGATTTGTCCCATCCAGTTAATTAATCCCACAAACCGAAAAAAGAAAATGTTCTTACATCGCTATTTTAGAATACTTAATCAATGAGTTGTAGTACTTGGTAGGTGGTGATTTTAAAAACGGCAAAGGGCCAAATATACACTTATATTTTTGAAAATGGTTTAAGAATACCCATCGTTATACTATTGGGCTATATATACCCTTCCCGTCATACTTTGGAATAAATATACCCTTATTTTGGATGGAGTGCCACGTGTCAGCATCAGATGAAAACGACCAATTTCTTTTTTTTACCTGATCCGTTTTAAAAAAACCACCACCCGACCCGTTTTAAAATTCAGTTTTTTTTAAGCATATATTTTGTAAAAACTGAATTTTTTTTTTGTAAAAACTGAAAAAAAAAGATTTTGCAAATATATATTTTTAAGTCTTTTCAGTTTTTTTAAAGTTTTTTTTTTGTAAAAACTGAAAAAAAAAATATTTTTTTTAAAAATGCTTTAAAAACTGAAAAATATATATTCTGTAAAAACTGGAAAAAAAAAAAATTTGCAAAATATATATTTTTAAGTCTTTTCAGTTTATATTTTTAATTCTTTTCAGTTTTAAATTTTGCAAATTCCTTTTTTTTTTTTTCAATTTTTACAAAAAAAATAATCAGTTTTTATAAAATATATGCTTAAAAAAAACTGAATTTTAAAACGGGTCGGGTAGTAGGTTTTTTAAAACGGATCGGGTAAAAAAAAGAAATGGGTCGTTTTCATCTGGTGCTGACACGTGACACTCCATCCAAAATAAGGGTATNAGTAGGTTTTTTAAAATGGATCGGGTAAAAAAAAGAAATGGGTCGTTTTCATCTGGTGCTGACACGTGACACTCCATCCAAAATAAGGGTATATTTGTTCTAAAGTATGACGGGAATGGTATATATATAGCCCAATAGTATAACGAGAGGTATTCTTAGACCATTTTCGAAAGTAGAGGGGTATATTTGGCCCTGTTTTAAAAATCAATTTGAGGTGGATTGAATCTCTTTAAGTGGCATTATTATATCTTAATTAATTGAAAGTTTTTATCATTTCAACTTTTTTCTTAGTATCAAATTCGCTTCTTTTCAACTGTAAAATCAAGCTTCTAACAAAAATGGCCCACGAAATGACATTTAGAAAAGACAACTTTTCAAGATTTCAATTATTATATGTAGGAAAACTGGACCATTTTGATAAGGCGAGGATACTTCAAAGTCAAGTTGGGGTTGCAAAGGCTTTAGTAAAATTAACACCAGCTTGCAAAAATAGCACATGAATCCAACAACATTTTATGGATAGATTTAAAATGTTGGAAAATGGCCAGCTTGCAATTGATAAAGATTTGAGAATACCTAGTGGATATCAATTATAATTTTATATGAAGAGGCGGATTCAAGACTTAATGTTTATGGATTTTTGCAACGATCTTGATTAAATTTTTAATAGTAACTGAGTTCACATTCAAACATTTATGGATATTTAGTAAATTTTTCGAATACATTTATACAGTTTGGACAAAATCTACCGGGTTCACGTGAACCCATAATTCGGGAGGTGGATCCGCCCTGGGTATATGGTTATTCAATGTAATCTTATCACTTACCAGAAACCTGTGTTTATGTAGATACGGTAAAAAATGGTAGGGACAAGAAAATATTAATTTTGAAAAAGGAAAATAAAACAAATATGAATACCAATGGTATTACTATTATACGCTGATCCATGCAGGGCTCAGTGCGTATAAAATATAGTTGGTTCATTTTAAAATAAATTTGCTTATTGATCACTACCAACTTGATTTTTACATGCCAACAACTATAAGAATCTATTGTTACTGTTAAAATATACCCTTGGTTTGCCATTGATGAGTGATTGAAGCTCACTTAAGAGAACCTTCTAGATAGAGAGAGAAAGAACCGAGAGGAAAAATATCTTTTCTTATTAACAGAAAAACCAACTGAGAAATGACTTGTGCAAGCATATTTATAAACTTGTCTTGACATGTTAATTCTAACCTCCACTAACTCTAATATAACTGACTAACTAACTGTACAGCTGTAACATAGCTCACTTATAACTAATCTTCTAGAATATTACTACTTAAATAGTACACTGTACAATCATTACAAGCTATACATCTCAACACTCCCCCTCAAGTTGAGAATGAGAAAATATTTTTCATTCCCAACTTGGATAGTCATGTTGCTGGTGTCCTAGAGCCTTAGTCAAGATATCTGCAAGTTGCTCTTGGCCGGGAATGTGTGAGGTCTTGGTTAAGCCTTCTTGAATCTTCTCCCTTATAAAATGACAGTCTATTTCTATATGCTTTGTTCTCTCATGCTAAATTGAATTTGCAGCAATCTGAAGGGCTGCCTTGTTGTCATAGAATAGTTCCATAGGCAATTTCACATTTACTTTCAACTACTTTAACAGATCACTTAACCAAACCAGTTCTGCAACCGTGTGTTCCATGCTCCTATACTCAGCCTCTTTGCTTTCCAAGAAATGAGTGAACTCCCACGCTTAATGCAATACCCAATGACTGACGTTCTGGACATGGGACAAGAAGCCCAATATGAGTCACAATATGCTTCTATTTTCTGCTCACTTCTATTTGATATTAGCAACCCAAGTCCTGGCTGATTCTTTATGTATCTAACCACATGTAGTGCTGTCTCATAATGTGACTTCTTAGGTGCATGTATAAATTGGCTTAGATATTGAACTGCATATACAATGTCTGGCCTTGTTATTGTCAGGTATAATAGCTTGCCAATCAGTCTTCGAAAGCTCCCCCTGTCCTCTAAAGGTTCATCATTGTTCTCAGACTTTAGACATTCATCAAACTTAGTACTTGTCAGTTTGAGGTTCTGCTCCATAGGTGTCTCTTTTGGCTTTGAACTTGCCAATCCTGCATCTGAAATCATTTCTAGAGCATATTTCCTTTGGGACATACGAATGCCCTCAGTTGATGTAGCAAATTCTATCCCCAAGAAATATCTTAAGTCTCCCAGATCTTTCAACTTAAAATTCTGGTGCAGTGCAGATTTTGCTCTTTGAATTTCCTCCAAATCATTCCCTGTAATGAGCAAGTCATGTACATATACAAGTATCAACACAAATTTGTCATCCACAGTCTTGGTAAAGAGAGAATAATCATATTTGCTTTTCTTAAAATCAGTTTTCAACAAGGCTTGTGTCAATTTCAAGTTTCATTGCCTGGATGCTTGTTTTAACCCATATAGGGATTTAAGTAGTCTGCATACTTTAGTCTCCCACTGGCTACTAAATCCTTGTGGTAGAGTCATATATACTTCCTCATCAAGATCCCCATTTAAAAAGGCATTATGAACATCCATTTGAAAACTGACCAATTAGAACAACAGTAGCAACTACAATTCTAACAATAGTAAGCTTAGCTACAGGGGAGAAGGTGTCATGAAAGTCTAAACCTTCTTTCTGACTGTACCCCTTAGCTACAAGTCTAGCTTTGAACCTTTCCACAGAACCATATGCATTATAATTTATTTTATAGACCCATTTGCAGCCTATTGAGACCTTCCCTTTAGGTAAGTCAACTACTTCCAAGTATGGTATTTTCCAGAGTTTCAATCTCAAGCTTCATAGCCTTGATCCATCTATCATCCCTAATGACTTGAGAGTAAGAGGATGGTTCTGTATCAGAAGAAAAAGAAGCAAGAAAAAACTGAAACTGAGTGGGAAGATGGGAATAAGATACAAAGTTTTGAAGAGGATAAGAGGTAGCAGGAACAGTGGTTGATGGTAGGGGAGGATGGACATAGTATGTCATCCAAATGGAGGGCTTAGTGGTCCTACCAGATCTCTCAGGAGGAGTTGTAGTTGGATTCAATGTAACAGAAAGTGAAGAAGTAGGGGCTGCAGATTGAATTTTCTCTGGAATATGAGTATGTGGTGTGCCTTCTGGTAAGGAAGGAGGATCAGATAGTACATGAGAAAGTGTTTTGCTAGGAGTAGATCCAAGACAGGAAGGAGCTGAAACAATTAAGTCAGATGTAACGGAAACATGAGAATGTGAAGGGAAGTAAGAAGAGCCTGAGGAAACATGACTAACATTAGGTCTACAAAGAAAATAATTTCTAGGAAATTTGAATGGAAAGACATTCTCTTTGAAGATGACATCTCGACTGACTATGAATTTGTCAGCTTCAATGTCATATACTTTGTAACCTTTTTGAGTAGGGGCATATCCCATGGACACTCTTGGTATTGATTTTGGAGTAAATTTATCACTGAAATTTGGTTTTGTGGCATAATATAGGCAGCCTAAAGTCCTTAAATGATCAAGAGCAGGAGGAGAACCATGAAACATCTCATAAGGAGATTTTCCATGCAACACAACATTAGGAAGTCGGTTTTTGACATATACTGCAGTCAAGATGCAATCACCCCAAAATTTTAGAGGAGTGTGAGCTTGGAATCTCAAGGCTCTACTTACTTCAAGTAAGTATCTGTGCTTTTTCTTCACGGCTTTATTTTGTTGTGGAGTATGGACACAACTGCTTTGGTGTATGATACCCTTGGATTTGAAGAAACTAGAATAAAGGGTATTGAAGAATTCATAGCCATTATCTGATCTGCGTGTTTTTACAGTGGTGGAGAACCAATTTTCTACTAGGCTAAGAAAGTCATTCAAGACAACATACATATCACTCTTTAATCTCAAAAGGTAAATCCAAGTCATTCTTGTATAGTCATCAACAAGAGTAAGAAAATATCTGAAGCCATTAAAAGTACAGATTCTATAAGGACCCTAAATGTCCATATGAACAAGTTCAAAAGCAGAATTAGAATTAGAAGCACTACTAGGAAAAGGCAATCTTGTTTGTTTGGCTAAAGGATAGACAATACAATCACAAGAATTTGTTTTTCACAAATGCTTATTTACGGTAAGTATTTTCTGTAAGACTGAATAGGGTGCATGACCAAGTCTTTGATGCCACAGAACACTTGATTTATTCTGAACAGAGGTAGACAAATATGTAGAGTTAGAGGAACTAGCAGTAGGTGTTGAAGGGTTGAGAATATAGAGGCCACCTTGGTATCTACCATTCCCCTTCACCCTGCTACTGAAGAGGTCCTGAAAGAAAAAAAAATCATAATAAAAGTGAACTGAGCTGTTTAATTCTCGTGTGTAATTGGAAACCGATAAAAGATTATGCTGAAATTGAGGTACATAGAGAACACTATATACTGTCTCTGAGTTAGGCAGAGTACAAGTGCCTATGTGAGTGATTTTAGTACTATCTCCATTAGGTAAATGTACTGAGGTAGGCTTAAAAGTAGGTGTAGGTGTATGACCAGATAATAGATTCAAGGAAAAAGCCATATGATTTGAAGCCCCAGTATCAATAATCCAACTAGCTTGATCAGTATTCGACTTACCTGCCATATTGGCCATCACTTATTATTATTTTTTCTTGCTTAGCGTTTTAAGAATCTACTGATACTGTTCAACAGTAAATGTAGGAGCATTTGGGAAACATATGTTAGGGGGAACCACATTTCCATGTCCAACATTTTGCATCTCTTCCTCGACATTCACATTATGTGCAACTGCAGTAGCATTGCCATACACTCCCTTCTTTTTATTGTTGAATTTGAAACCTGGGAGGGGGGTGTATCCTATAAGTTTGTAAGAAATAGTCACATTGTAGATTAAAATTCTTCCTTGGCCTCAAACCAGCAATAACTGCAATTAAGTGACTACTTTCCACCTCCATAGGTGTACTACCTAGAATTCCATTATGCGTCATGAGTCCTAATGGTAGGCTATAATCTCGTATGTTAGTCTCTTATTGCACTCTAATTCACTGCACTTTACTTGTTTTGAGCTTTAATTGATAGTGTTTTGCACTTATTGTGTGTTTTATGCCTTGTAGGAGTGATTTCGAGCAATGTAGATGTTATGAAATGAATTTGAGTTATTTGGAGCTTTGAAGTCTGAGTAAAAGCCCAATGGATTAAGCCGGAATCGTGTTCGGGGGTCGAGAACTAAGTCTGGACGTCAAAACGCAAGAAATATTTGTACTCTGAGAAAACATCACTGCCGCGGCGCGACTGTGCAAATTCCTGCTGCCCGTTAGAACCAACTCTCTGGATTTCCCCACTAATGCCCGCATGGCGCGTCGCCCTATGCGGCACGCCTGTGCAATTTTTACAGAGTAATTTTCCTATTTCGGCTAGGAGAAGGTGATTTCGTCTGGGCCCGATCCTACTTGGTATAAAAACATTATTTTCTGGACTTTTGACACATATTAGACCTAAGGAGGCCAAGGAGGATTGGGAGGAGCAAAAGCACAAGGATTTCATCATTCCTTCCTCACTCAAGACCCGAGTTTGGATCAAATTTATATTTTCCTATCTTTTAATTATATTTATGATGAATTGCTCCATATCTATGGAGTAGTTCTCTTTAGGGTTTAATGGATTGGGTGTATTGATGATTATTTATGGATTATAACTCTAGTTTTATGTATTGAAGTATTTTTGGATGATTTCATTGTTGCATCTATATTCATTTGTTCATGTAATCGAGAGAGGCATAACTTGTGATATTTTTCATTATGTTATTGGGTGAGTTCATTAATTCTTCTTAGTAATCGAAAGAAGCTAGTTGAACCATTGATTAAACCTATTTAGGAGAATAATCGAGAGAGATTCTCCTAAAGACCAATCCACTACACATTCTTGCATATCTTCACGTGCTTAAATTAGTTCATCTCATGAGGTTGAGACTTAATTGAGAGAGGAGCTTCTACTAAACGTTTGAACTAATAATTGAGTGAATTCGAGAGACTCACTTAAACATTAGAAGTGAATTAACTAGAGTTAGATCTCAAAAAATTATCTTGCACCTATCCTATCAACCCCTATTTTCTCCCACTGATAACTTCCTTGCTTACATTTGTTGCGATAGTCATTCGTCAATAGCTTTATATTCTTAGTTAATTTTAGTTATTAATCATATAAATCTCAATTGTTGATTCTCTTGGATAGAAATCAAGCTAGAAACTAAGAAAATATTGTTTAACTCCAATCCCTGTGGATACGATATTATACTATACTTTCTTTGACTAGAGAGCATAATTTAAATATGTGTTTCGAGCTCGTCAAGTCCACTACTCATTCTTTGACTTTCCTCCTGAATAAGCATCGAGTATGCCTGATTGAGTGAGGGTATAGGGTGCATTATCAGAATTTGACTCCTCTGTGGTGCATAGGTCTCGTTTAACCCCATTAAGAATTTCACAAGCTTTTGTGTATGCAGAAACTCAACAAAAGTCTTAGATTTTTTGCAGTCACAGCCAGGGAAAGAGATAATTGACTCAAATTCGTCCTATAAGTCGTTTAACTTTGAGAAATAGACTGACATACTAGAAATTCCTTGAGTCAAACACTAATTTCCTTGTCCATGTGGTAAATCTTAGAAGCATTTACCTTATCAAAGCGGTTCTTTAGGGCTTCCCAAACCTTCTTAGTGTTTGATGAAAACACAATGCCTTGCCTCAATTCCTTTGCAACAGAACTCATAATCCACGATCGTACTATTGTATTGCATTGGTCCCACTGATGCAATCGAAATGGATGTTTCTCATAATCCTCTCGCACACAAGTTTCATTAATGAAATCGATCTTATTCTTCACTAACAGTGACATTTTCATAGACCGACTCCATTCTAAATAATTTTCATCCACATCAACAGTTGCGGAACAAGTAAAACACAAGGTGTATCAGATGGATGAACATACAGTGGATCATTACAACCAAGAAATTGATTGTTTGCATGCGATGTACCAGCTGTACTTTGAGGACTATCGATGGCCATTTTGAAAAGCAGAGAGCAAATAAAAAAGGAATTAGGGTTAAAAAAATAGAGCAAGTGTCAACCGAGAAGAACACAACGAAGAAGAAGGAGAAACGAAGAATTGAAGAGGAAATTGAAGAATTCAGAGACTCATCAACTTAAATCGTAGTGAACCGGGCTCTGATACCATGTTAAAATATACCCTAGGTTTGCCATTGATGAGTGATTGAAGCTCACTCAAGAGAACCTTCTAGATAGAGAGAGAAAGAACCGAGAGGAAAAATATCTTTTCTTATTAACAGAAAAACCAAACGAGAAATGACTCGTGCAAGCATATTTATAAACTTGTCTTGACATGTTAATTCTAACCTCCACTAACTCTAATATAACTGACTAACTAACTATACAACTATAACATTAGTTCACTTAACTAACGTTCTAAAATATTACTACTTAAATAGCACACTGTACAATCATTACAAGCCATACATCTCAACAGTTACCACAGGCAGATCGATTGGTGAGTTCAGTTGAGCTTATTTCTTTCGGCTCAAATTATATGTATATATACAAAAAGAAACTAAAATGTGCCCATATAATAAGATCACACTCATTTTGAATTCGCTAACTTTACAGGTATAGCTTTGTCATTGCTATTCGGATATATGAAACCTTGAGTCTGGCTAGTTCCATTGCCAATGTCCTCTTCTCCTCCTATTCAGTTGATCAAGAGTACAATTAATTAGTTCGAAAACAAATGATTTTAGGCATTTTTTTCTACTTGTAATTCAGAAATTTGTCGTTGGTAATCATAAGTTCTGTTGGCCGCCATTTCTCTTGCAAGAATAGGGGAATTGGAATTTAGAAATTATTTTTATCGAAACTTTGCATGTTTCTTTACTCTTTTATTTTACAAGTTCAGTAGAGATATCTTAAGCTTGTAACATTTTAACTGGAGTTTTGTCTTTTGTTGAGGTATTCATCAAAGGCGAATGTATATTAATCACAAGGTTTATAGAAGTTATATTGAATTAAATACTCTTATATAATATCAGATTTAACTCTCGAAGGTTATTGTTTACCACATACGTTCACACGGATTCATTGGTCGCAGTCCCTTTTCCTTCATAGCTCCTATCTCCCCTATCCTCCTCGCACTTACGTCTTATGGTTACTAGTAGATTGTCAATACCGTTTAGTCATTCCTTGGATTTACAATGTCATCTATCAGCTATATAACTCTCATGGCTTCTTGGCCCTTCTTGTCACTGTTTTCTTTCTTATTGGATCGGATCTCCTTTGGTCTCAATTCGTAATGTCGCTCTCAGAGTTCTATAATTTACTCGCCAACTTAATTTAACTTGGTCTCTTTTGTCCTTTATTGTAATTTTTGGGTATCGCTCGCGATTTTATTGTTATTCTGATGCTGAAGAGTACTTGTTTATAACTTTAGGGCGATTTACGGCACCGCACTAATCACGATGGTGTCTTTCTCCATTTATATAACAGAGTTTCCCCTGTTTTAAATATCCTGCCATATTCGCTCTTTGGCTGTTCTCTGTGTGCGAGGTGCTCACATTATGGTTATACTATTTATGATTATAATTCCTCTAGTTTTCCTCCATCCACTTGGTCAAGTGGTCTCCTTGTTTTTTACTACTCGTAGTATGCTCCATGTACCTTAGCTCTTATGTCTTAGGGTTTTCTTAAGAGTATTTAATTCAATATAAGGGCTATATATTGACCCAAAACAACCCAAATTTTAGTTTATGGCATCTGATAACTTAAATATGAAATTTTTTTTTAAATTTTTGGCATTCTATAGCCAATTAATAAAATATACAAATTAATATTCTCTATCTTATTAAAAAAATATTTCCCGTTAAAAAAATATACAAATTAATAGATATTATATTCTTTATTCAGTAAAAGAGCCTTTACGCTGAATTATTTTAAAAAAAGTATGCACCTAATTAAGGACATGTATGATGGAGCTAAGACTCAGGTAAGGACAATGAAAGGAGACTCGGAATTGGGATTTCACTTGGCTATTATTATTGTTGTAGTTGCTCTAGCTACACTCTTCCTAAATCAACATAATGGTCTTGTGAGTGATGCACATATAGTGTGAATTTTATTAGAAAAACAGATTAGTCAGTGTATCAGTGAGCAGAAGAATGCTATAGGAAGTGTTGTTAATTCAAAAATAGAGGCTTTTTTGAGTGAGCCCAAATTTAGAGGATGATTTTGGAACCTTTTCTGTTCGAGGAATTTACGTAGAATACAACCTTTCTAATATTTATTTAAGTTTCATACAACTGCTTTGATAAAATTACATATAATACAATGTATTTTAAAATTTACAACTTTTCATATTTCTAATATCTCTCTCTTGAGATTATCTCACCTAAAATATATCCTAATATATCTCTCGTAAGATTCTTTCTCATCTAAAAGTATCTATCATATTAATTTTTCCCTATTTTTTCATTAATATATTGTATACTGTATATTTTTTGTACAAAATGTATGTTATATAATTAAAAAATACAATAATATATATAATATATAATATACAATATACAAACACTGAAGTGAAAAAAATATTATTAATAAATATACTACACAGAGTATTATATATATCATGTATATATTAAAAAATATACAATATTATATTATAAAAGAACTTGGGGGAACTTGGTTTTGCATTGACAGAGAGGTGAAGAAGAATCAAATTTGGGGAATCCTTTGAGATTTTTGGATGGTGTATAGCATAGGAGTTCTAATAGAGAGAAATAAACATTAAAACTAACAAAGGCATGTTCTTTTGGTAAGGATATGATATGATTGATGCATAATACAAGAGGATATGGTTTGATTGATGCATAATACATAGATAATTAAGGCAAGTGGGTGCTTGGTAATCAATATTAATAAATTGGAGATTTTTTAGGGACAAATAAAGATACGTTTCGAAATAGGATTCCTCATTAATAGGTAATCTACCATATTTTTAGAGTGTATCTTTTATATTTTGTTGTACAATTTGTAATTCTAATACAAGTTATAGATTATGGAATATTTTATAAATTCCTAAGTAACTACGAAAATTTCCCATTTTCTTCTTATACCGAGTGTGAGGCTAGTCCGATAAGGTTTGTCTTAGACTGCTAGGGGTTAATGTTGTGTTCACACTATTCGTCCGTTTTTATAGCACCAAGCCTTATTTACTGGTTATTAGTATTGCGTTTCATTTATTCTCTGGCTCTTATGATATTATTTCTATGGTTCTGCTAACGGTACTAATATATTGTCTCTTTTTGTCTTGTTCGTTTTCTTAAGTCGAGAATCTATTGAAAACAACCTCTCTACTCCATCGGGGTATGAGTAAGGTCTGCGTATCTTTCTTTTCAAATATGTGAACTTCACTTTTTTCCTCGTTTTTCTACTCCATTCAGTTTCTTTTGCGAGTTCGGATCATAGAAGGCTCCGAATTTTCAAGTCCATGGGGGTGAATTACCATATTTGACTATTTCTTTTGACAATCGGGGCAGAATCAACAACAAGAAGTTAGTAATATATAATAAGAAAATGTTATCTTTATTCTACCCCCACCACAACTAAAGTGAAGATGAGGGAAGTAATTCAAGTAGCACAAGTTCTAAAGAGGCAAGTGATTTTGACTCAAGTCCTGCTAGTGGGGTGGAATGAAGTGGTTCAAGGTAAAGTGAAAGCGAATAAGGCGGCGTACCTGAAGCTAGTTGGGAGCACATGCGAGGTAGAGAGGAGTGCGAACAGGTAAAGGTATAAGGTAGCTAGGAAGGAGGCGAAACTGGCGGTCACGGAGTCTAAGACTGCGGCTTTTAGTCGTTTGTACGAGGGACTAGGGGCCAAAGGCGGGGAGAAAAAATTATTCCGGCTGGCCAAGGCGAAAGAGAGGAAGGCCCGGGATCTGGACCAAGTGAGATGCATCAGAGACGAGGACGGTAGTGTATTGATGGGAGAGGTCCAGATTAAGTGGATATGACAGACTTACTTTCATAAACTTCTGAATAAAGACGGGGATCAGGATATTGTGCTAGGCGAGTTGGGGCATTCCGAGAGCCTCCGTGATTTTGGGTACTGCAGACGCATCAAGGTTGGGGAGGTCATGGGGGCTATGCGTAAGATGAGCAGGCTTGATGAGATTCCGATCGAATTTTGGAGGTGTGTGGGTAGAGCAGGCTTGGAGTAGTTGAGTGGGTTGTTTAATGTTATTTTCAGGACGAAGAGGATGTCGGACGAGTGGAGATGGAGTACGGTGGTTCCGTTGTACAAGAACAAAGGTGACATCAAGAGTTGAAACAACTATAGGGGTATCAAATTATTGAGTCATACCATGAAAGTTTGGGAGAGGGTAGTAGAAGCGAGGGTGAGGAGGACAGTGTCTGTATCAGATAATCAGTTCGGGTTCATGCCAGGTCGTTCTACTACAGAAGCTATCCACCTTATTAGGAGGTTGGTGGAACAGTACAGGGATAGGAAGAAGGATTTGCACATGGTGTTTATTGATCTGGAAAAAGCATATGACAAGGTTCCTAGGGAGGTTCTTTGGAGGTGCCTTGAGGCTAAAGGTGTGCTTGTTGCTTACATTAGGGCGATTAAGGACATGTATGATGGAGCTAAGACTCGGGTTAGGACAGTGGGAGGCGACTCTGAGCATTTTTCGATTGTTATGGGGTTACACCAAAGATCTGCGCTCAGCCCTTTCTTGTTTGCTCTGGTGATGGACGCACTGACACACCATGTTCGAGGAGAAGTGCCATGGTGTATGTTATTCGCTGATGACATTGTTCTGATTGACGAAACACGAAGTGGCGTTAACAAGAGGCTGGAGGTTTGGAGACAGGCCCTTGAGTCTAAGGGTTTCAAGTTGAGCAGGACGAAGACGGAGTATCTTGAGTGTAAGTTCAGTGCCGAGCCGAGGGAAACGGGCATGGACGTCAGGCTTGGATCGCAGGTCATTCCCAAGAGAGGCAGTTTCAAGTACCTTGGATCGATTATCCAGGGGGATAGGGAGATCGACGAGGATGTCACACACCGTATTGGGGTGGGTGGATGAAATGGAGGTTAGCATTTGGAGTCCTGTGTGACAAGAAAGTGCCTCCGCTACTCAAAGATAAGTTTTATAGAGCGGTGGTTAGACCGGTCATGATGTATGAGGCTGAGTGTTGGCCAGTTAAGAACTCACATATCCAGAATATGAGAGTAGCAAAAATGAGGATGTTGAGGTGGATGTGCGGGCACACTAGGATGGATAAAATTAGGAATGAAGATATTCGGGAGAAGGTGGCCGTGGCTCACATTGATGACAAGATGCGGGAAGCGAGACTCAGATAGTTCGGGCACGTTTAGAGAAGGAGCTTGGATGCTCCGGCAAGGAGGTGCGAGCGGTTGGCATTGGTGGGTACGAGGAGAGGTAGAAGGCGACCTAAGAAGTATTGGGGAGAGGTGATCATGCGGGATATGACGAGACTTCAGATCTTCGAGGACATGGCACTCGATAGAAAGCTGTGGAGGTCGAGTATTAAGGTTGTAGGTTAGGAGGTAGTTGAATTCATTTAGTCTACCAGTGTGAGGCTAGGCTAGGCTGATAGGATTTAGTCTTAGATTGCTAGTGATCAATGTTGTGTTTTCACTACTCTTCCATTAGTTACTGGTTATTATTTCTGCTTTTCATTTATTCACTGGTTCTTGTGATGTCGTGATTATTTACATAATTTTTATTGATGGTACTGATATATTGTCTCTTTTGTCTCTTTTCGTCTTTTCATCTTCTTGAGCCGAGGGTCTTTCGGAAATAACCTCTCTACCCCATCGCGGTAGAGGTAAGATCTGCGTACATACTACCCTCCCCAAACCCCACTTGTGAGACTATACTGGGCCGTTGGTTGTTGTTGTTGTTGCCGCCGCCTGCTAGTGGTGTGGAAATGTAAAAAAATAGCTAGTGTTAATATCACCTAGAATGAAGAAATTGATTATACCTTTCAATATGCTGGATCTAATAATTAAATTGTTTATGCCAACACTTGTATCAAAAATGATGGGAATGGGGCCATGAGTGTTAGAAATGATCTCTTCAAGAAATCACACTTCCACGCACTTCATGATCTGTAAAGAGTCTTAGGAAGGAAAACTGTAAGAGAAAAGTTTATCATTGGGTACCAAAACAGCAACTTACTCCGTATTTAAGAGTACGCCACATTAAGCGGACCGAAACAACGTCAAATAGAAGTGAATTTGGAACTACAAAATATGTTCATAGAAAGAATGTTATTATAGAAGTCTAACCATAGAAGATTAAAATGGCCGCAACCTTTCAAAGTTCCTGTAATAACATAACAATACGGAAGCAAAGGGACCACCAACTAAGATTAAAGCTTTAATCATCCTCAGTAAACCCACACTAGGTTTGATATTTACCGATACACTAATGAAAGTATGTACTCTTCAGATATCTTGTAAAACCCAAGTTTCCAAAACAACTACTAGTTTCTCCCCTTCCACCAATCGACGGTTTGCTACTTACTTTTGCGAAGTTTAATCGGATGGTTTCCAACATCCTTCCCTGAAAAGAGCATGAATTACCACATCATCAGGCATCTGGGTATAATATTACACAAATTCAATAACTAAAACTACTTCCACTTCAGACATTCATGTACTCCCCCCTCCCCCCTCCCCAAACTTTGCGAACTCCACAAGAAACCAGATTTATGAAATTCACGCATACAAGTTTGGTTGATGTTGTTCTGTTCTCACTGATTTTTTTCTGGGCTTGAACTGACTTCAGAAGCAGTCGCAAATGTTGTTTTCAGTACAGAGTTCTGTTACTTGTTTCCTTCACTATTCCTTCTTTTTCGTGGGGAGGGAAGGGGGAGGGGACAAGGATTGCACGTTCAAATACAAAACCAAGTGGCCTAATAGAGGGCACTCTTTATATCAACCCGAATCATTTGATAATTGATATAAAGACATCAAAGTGGCATCAACCAGATGTAATATCAAGGGAACTGTTAGATCCAACTGAAAGCTACCACCCCTATCATTTATGAGTGATGGGTCTTGAAGAAGTAAAAGCTAATCATGTAACTGTGACAGACCCACTACATCAGGTTCTGTCTCCTTTTTTTTTGAGAAGGATCAAGTTCTGTCATTTAATACATCGATTATGCTGCAGTACCTTAAGCACAATAAGAGACACAACATTCATAATACTTGATTAACAGATAACTTACCATTCATTTCTTCAAGTGCCGCAGCCTGGTCTAACGGGTTGGAAAAACTCACAAATCCATATCCCATGGTCTTACCAGTCCGCTTGTCTCTCACAACCTGTCAACATGAACTGTAGAACCCTTTTGTTATCGAAATTTGTAAGCTACAACATACAATTATACAATGAAGTTCGAAGAGAGCAAGGCGAATATAAAATACCCTTTTTTCTATTCTTTCTTTTCAGGCCTAATAGCATCAGCATGATGGATCTTGAAATATAACTAAGCTACACTTCTTTTTTTTATCAGGTAACTAAGCTACACTTCTATATAACACATTTCGACTGCAATTTCGGGCAATAAACAAATTACCAGTAGACTATGTCCCAATGAGGTAAGGTATCACCACCATTACAATCTTCTCAATTAGATGCAACTAATCTACAATCTTGATTAGATGCTCACTGCTTTAGACATCCAAAAACTGGCAATATCTCACACCCTTTTCATTGGCTTATTTCTTCAGTTTATGCAAATACACATTAAAATACAGAACTAAGTCAACATGCATGTTTGCAGTGTACCCCACCCGAAAAAACAAGAAAAGAACACACACACACACACACACACAAACATACAACCTGAGGAATACAATTTTTGATCCTACGATGATACTACTAATATGTTCTCTTTAATTTTGATCATTCAGAAGAAGTCTCTCAAAACTAGATGCATGCGTACCACTATAGACGTACCCAGACTATCACTAGATGTCTATGCATTTAGAAGGATTTCTAGCTTTCTGAATGTTCAGGATGTAGAAATATGATGCAAGAAAAGAAATAAAAGAATTAAACTTCTAGGGGACCAAAAATATCTCCCTTCATGACCAGATATACCAGTTCTCATGTATGCCAATCAAAAACATAAAAATTTAAAACTATTGGAAAAGTAAAATGATCTAACAGAACATACCTTAGCCATATTAAAGGTTGGAAACCTTGAAAAGGCTTTTGATAGGACATCATCATTCACCTCATTCCCAAGATTACCACATAATAGACGATAATTATCTGTGACACCATCCGAATAGTAACTTAGTTATTCCACTGTACTGGGATTTGCACCAATTCTAACAGCAAAGGCGCAAATAAGTCAATAACCATGGGAAACAGGTGCAAAAAGCCATCACAGAAGGAAGTGACTAGAGAACCAACAGTGGATAAAATCACTGCAAACCATAATTCATGAAAGCGGAGCAATAAAGCATAATACTTAAACATCTTAGCAGCAAAAAGGATACTACTCAAACATGCAAGATCTGATAGATTACTTAGCAGAGTTTGTCTCCTGCACATTCTTTTTTCTAAACACCTCTGGAGAAAGCACTAAAAGAAGTAAAATGCATTTAGAAAGAGAAGACACAAAACTTCCCATATCTTAACTAACACAAATTCCTATAGTAGATCTATTTTCTATTCAAGCATCTATTATCCAAACAAGAGAGATAGCAAACACGGGTTATAAATTATAGTACTGTGAGATAGATAAAACGAGGTGGGGATAGAATAATTGCTTTAAGGATAGTATGGGGAAAGAAGACTGTGAGAAGACACAGGAGAAAATATGTTATTGATATTGGATGATAAATACAATACAAGAGGTCTCTATTTATAGCTATACACTACAAGGAGATATTACTCCTCTTCCAATGTGGGACAAGATTACACTATACATATCTGTAAACTAACACTCCCCCTCAAGCCGATGCATACACATCATATGTACCGATCTTGTTATACATGTAACTAATACGAGAACCAGTAAGAGACTTAGTGAAAATACCTGCTAGTTGATCATTCGACTTTACAAATTTTGTAACAATATCTCCTGAAAGTATTTTTTCTCTGACAAAGTGACGGTCAATCTCAATGTATTTAGTCCTCTCATGGAACACCGGATTTGACGCAATATGAAGAGCAACTTGGTTATCACACACCAGTTCCATCTTGTTAATTTCTCCGAACTTTAACTCCTTGAGCAACTGCTTGACCCAAACTAACTCACACGTCGCCATAGCCATGACCCGATATCCGGCTTCAACGCTAGATCGAGCAACTACATTCTGTTTCTTGCTCTTCCACGAGACCAAATTACCTCCTACTAGAACACAATATCCAGACGTAGAACGTCTATCAAAAGGTGATCCTGCCCAATCAGCATCTGTGTACCCAACAATCTGCTCGTGGCCTCGATCCTCGAATAGTAATCCTTTGCCTGGAGCTGACTTTATATACCGAAGAATGCGAACAACTGCATCCCAGTGACTATCACAGGGAGAATCCATAAACTGACTTACAACACTCACCGGAAAAGAAATGTCAGGTCTAGTCACTGTGAGGTAATTCAATTTGCCAACCAACCTCCTATATCTCGTAGGGTCTCTAAGAGGCTCCCCCTGTCCAGGCAGAAGCTTAGCATTCGGATCCATAGGAGAGTCAATAGGTCTGCAACCCATCATTCCAGTCTCCTCAAGAATGTCTAAGGCATACTTCCGCTGTGAAATAACAATACCTGAGCTAGACTGAGCGACCTCAATACCTAGAAAATACTTCAATCTGCCCAGATCCTTAGTCTGGAAGTGTTGAAAGAGATGTTGCTTCAGATTAGTAATACCATCCTGATCATTACCAGTAATAACAATATCATCAATATAAATCACTAGATAAATACACAGATTAGAAGCAGAATGCCGATAAAACATAGAGTGATCAGCCTCACTACGAGTCATGCCGAACTCCTGAATAATTGTGCTGAACTTACCAAACCAAGCTCGAGGGACTGTTTCAAAACATATAGTGACCTGCGCAATCTGCACACACAACCATTAAACTCCCCCTGAGCAACAAAACCAGGTGGTTGCTCCATATAAACTTCTTCCTCAAAATCACCGTGGCGAAAAACATTCTTAATGTCTAACTGATAAAGAGGCCAATGACGTACAGCAGCCATGGACAAAAAAAGACGAACATATGCTACTTTAGCCACGGGAAAGAAAGTATTACTATAATCAAGCCCAAAATCTGAGTATATCCTTTTGCAACAAGACGAGCCTTAAGCCGATCAACTTGGCCATCCGGGTCGACTTTGACTGCATAAACCCAACGACAACCACCAGTAGACTTACCTGCAGGAAGAGGAACAAGCTCCCAAGTACCACTCGTATTTAAAGCAGATATCTTGTCAATCATAGCATGTCGCCATCCTGGATGAGATAGTGCCTCACCTGTAAACTTAGGGATAGAAACAGTGGACAGAGAAGATATAAAAGCATAATAAGGTGATGACAGACGATGATAATNAGCTACAACTGGAGCTGTAGGTGGTACAACTGGAGCTGTAGGTGGTGGAGCTGGAGTGACTGAATCTCCAAAAGATGAAATTGGTAGTACCTCAGAAATATCTAAGTGATGACCTGAACCTGTGAAGTATGATTGGGTTTCAAAGAAGGTAACATCAGCGGACATAAGGTACCGCTGGAGGTCAGGAGAGTAGCATCGATACCCCTTTTGTGTTATCAAGAAACCCAGAAATACGCACTTAAGAGCACGAGAAGCTAACTTATCTGTTCCTGGAGTAAGGTTATGGACAAAACAAGTGCTTCTAAAGATATGGGGTGGTAGAGAGAACAAAGGTAAGTGGGGAAACATGCCAGAGAATGAAACTTGGTTCTGGATAGCTGAAGATAGCATACAATTAATAAGATAGCAAGATGTAAGAACTGCATCCCCCAAAAACGCAACGGAGCATGAGATTGTATGAGTAGGGTACGAGCAGTTTCAATAAGATGTCTATTCTTTAGTTTCAATAAGATGTCTATTCTTTCTTTCAGCTACCCCATTTTGTTGAGATGTGTACGGACAAGATGTTTGATGAATAATCCCATCAATGTTATTAGTGCTTGTGCTCCACAAATTGATTAGATGCAAAGCTAAGTTTTGAGAGAATATGGACACCTTGGTTCAAGGGATTCCAGGAGACCAACAAATCTTTATAGGGGGGTGATGTAAATGGTCAATGTAGATAAAGATAGTGATGGTTTTGAGCAGGTACACGAGGGTTCAGGTTATGGTACTAGGAATTACGAAGGGAAGGCAATCTTAGAATCCACTTTAGCTTAAGATTTAGTGGTTGCTAACACATATATTAAAAAGAGAGATTCTCACCTAATAACTTATAAGAGTGGGGGTAACCATATTGAAATAGACTTTATCCTTACAAGAAGATGTGACAGAACCACATATAAGGAGTAAGGACTGGAAGGTACATGTGGTGTAATAACAATGAGTTAGTTAATCTAGATCAGTATCGTCATGGATTTTCTGGAGTTGTTAGCTATAAAAGAGTAGCAGGTTGTCTGGTCGAGCCCTGTTTTGATTCTTGTATCCTTCTGTCCAAATTTTACTGTGCAATGTACACACTAACAGCAATTCCTGTACAGCATAAGCAATTTGAATTTCCAATCATACCCCGATATTGTTTGTAAGCACGTCAGTGAAGAGCTGCTGTTCTTGTTTATGCCAATAGTAATACTTCTCCAAAATAGTCCTAGTTTTAACAAAATAAACTAATAGCAATAAGGGGCCAAAGCCATTTTTCCCTAGATGAATGCACAAGCAACGAATTCAAAAATTACCACTGCTTCCCTAAATTGTGGTCATAACGCAAAACACTGGGTGCAGAATGTCAAAATATTAGGCCTACTTTGCTCCTCATTCTAGCGTCAAGAAAATCATTAGCTATGTTCATCGTGTCTATCTCCCTCTAACAAAGGCAGTCCGATATAATATTAGCATTTCAAAAAAGGAAAGAGATAATGATCAAAAACACAGGAGCATCACTTTTTTGCGATAAACACCAGAAGAATAAAGAAAAGGAAAATTTATTAGGAAATTAGGGTTACCCGGTCGCCACTCTGCAAGAGTAGGTTCTTCCCAGATTTGAAACACACGAGGTACAGCTTTCTTCTTAACCTCGGCTTTCTTCTTGGGCTCAGCTTTGCGCTCAATTTCGCTGCTTCCACACTTTAAAGGCACCTCTACCATTGCGCCAATTACGGTTTTCCAGTTACCAAATTAGGGATTTCCGGCAAAGGGTTGGGAGACGATTTTCGGAATTGTATTGTGATTTGAATCCGGAGAGAGGTCGAAGATATAAATACTACTCTACCTGTCCTTTTTAGATTCGATTTAGCAAGCGAAAGCCTAAAAAATAGCATTCTATAACAAAAAATGTTACTTACTACAAATTATTTTATTAATAGGAAGGCAAAAAATTCTTCTAAGATTCATGCTTCATATAATATCTATCTATTGTTTTTAGTTGCATACAACAAAAACAACAACCAAATGAATCCCATAAGTGGGTCCGGAACGTTAATATGTACGCAGACCTTACCCCTACCCTGGAGGTAGAGAGACTGTTACCGAAAGACCCTCGGCTCGAAAGAAAGAATAGGAACAAGTAAATATCAACAAGGCCAGAAAAATGATACCAACAATGTATGAACCGGAAAAACAATAAATGGAAGAAAGCAATAACAATAGCAAAAGCAATAGTAACAGACAGTAATGCAACAGGGTACTAGAAAACCGAAGCGGAAGATAGTACTAAAGACAACCCTAATACTAGCACTCTAAGAATCAAAGACAATGTGCTAGTCAGCTAGCCCTAATAAACCTGGAACAAATAAGAAAAACACACTACGATCTATTACCCTTCTACTCTAATCTTCGACCTTCATATCCTTCTATCAAGGGCCATGTCCTCGGTAAGCTGAAGTCGCACCATATCCTGCCTGATCACCTCTCCCCAATACTTCTTAGGTCGTCCTCTACCTATTCTGCTACCTGCCAGCGCCAACTGTTGACACCTCCTCACTAGGGCATCTAGGCTTCTCTTTCTTACATGCCCGAACCATCTAAGTCTTGTTTCACGCATCTTATCCTTCATAGGGGCCACACCCACTTTCTCCCGAATATCTTCATTCCTAATCTTATCTAACCTAGTATGCTTGCACATCCATCGCAACATCCTCATTTTAGCTACATTCATCTTCTGGATATGGAGGTTCTTGATTGGCCAGCATTCTGCCCCATACAGCATAGCCGGTCTAACTACCGCCTTGTAGAACTAACCTTTAAGTTTTGATGGCACATTCTTGTCATACATGACGCCGGATGCTAACCTCTATTTCATCCACCCTGCCCCTATACGGTGTGTGACATCCTCGTCACTCTCCTTGTCCCCTTGGATAACTGACCCGAGAGACTTGAAACTTCCTCTCTTGGGGATGACTTGTGAATCAAGCCTCACGTGTATATATGTCCTCCCCCCCCCATCCCCGGTCACGTCATTGAACTTTCACACTAAGTACTCCATCTTAGTCATGCTCAACTTGAAACCTTTAGACTCCAAGGTCTGTCTCCAAACCACCAACTTTTTGTTGACACCGCCTCACGTTTCATCAATCGGTACTATGTCGCCAGCGAATAACATACACCATGGTACCTCCCCTTGAATATGACGCATCAGTGTATCCATCGCCAAAGCAAATAAGAACGGGCTAAGCGCAGATCCTTGATGGAGTATAGAGATTGTTTCCGATAGACCATCAGCACAATAAGATGAAACGAGATAGTGAAGTAGTAACATCAAATGAATCCATATGTAGCTAGAGCAACTAAAGAGCTAAAAAAATTAATTTTCACTCATACCCAATTGTGAAATTTACTTAAAGATTTTGAATCTTTAGTAAAGATTATTTAACTTAGTCAGCTTTGAAGCATGCTTAAATTTATTTGTTTACCTTCCATTATAGGGGTTGCTCTATGCTAGCTAGTGGGGTTTGTTCAAGATTCAATAATGAAACTGAATCTTGTGATAAATAAGCTTATTTGGCAATTTATTGAAATGAGAAGGCCCCACATGGAGCCTAATAGATATAGAGGATTCATATAGCTAACCCCAACTAGATTCGGAAATATTTTTGTCGTTGTCAAAATTTACTTAAAAATTGAATCTTTATTAGAGATTTTTTTGCCCCTCCCCTGTCCCCTTCCCGGGCCGGGGTCTTCCGGAAACAACCTCTCTGTCTTTTTAAAGGCAAGGGTAAGGTCTGCGTATACTCTATCCTCTCCAGATCCCACTTGTGGGACTACACTGAGTATGTTGTTATTGTTGTTATTAGATATTATTAACTGGATCAGTTATGAACCATGCTTAAATTTTTTGTTTATCTTCCATTATAAGGTTTTGTTCCCTGCTTTCTTGTGGGGTTTGTTCAAGATTCAAGAATGAAGCTTAATTGTGTGATATAGAGTATTCATATAGCTGACCCCAACTAGCTTCGAGATTGAAGCGTCATTGTGTTGTTGTTGATGTTGTTGTAAGAATAAAATGAATTTATGATGAATACGCTTATCTGGGGGTTCCATTAAAATAAGACGGCTTACATGGAGCCGAAAATTCATATAGTTGACCCAACTAGCTTTCAGTTAAAGGATTGTTACTGTTGTTGTTGTAAGCTTTTATGGAAATTTTGTCTAGTGGGAAATCTTGAATAAAGACTTTGTTACCATAAAAAATAGTATGGATGAGGAGGCAAGAATGCCCCTGTGAGGATTGGAAGTGTTTTATTTTATATGAAGGAGAAGTCGAGGAAGCAACCTTGGCCTTTCAATTAGCCAAAATTAAAGGGATTAAGATCGAGTCCACAACTGCAGATCTATAAAAAAGATTTTGTCTGTTATCGATCAGGTTTTGCACTCGCGAGGAAGAAATCAACTGGGAAACATCATCGGGATAGGAAATCAGTTCGTGATGCGAAAATGTATTTGTCGAAGGAAGTCGTGGATGGAGTTTCTCAATGGTTTGTCATGCAATTCAGTAATGTGCATAATCATGAACTCTTAGAGGATGATCAAGTACGTTTACTTCTAGCTTATCGTAAAATTCATGAGGTGGATCAAGATTGCATTGTTTTTCTTGCAAAGGCTGTCTTTCCAATACATCGCATCGTTAAGGTGCTTGAACTTGAAAAGGGCATTCACGACGGCCAACTTCCATTCTTGGAAAGGGATGTTAGGAATTTTGTTCAACCGGAAGAATATTGTCCAAGAAAATGATGTTTTATTTACTGAAAAAAGAGAAACTAACACAATGGATCTTCTTGAGGTGCATAAAGTTGCGAAAGAGTGATGTTCCTCTTAGTGTGAATGGTAAAGTTGAGAATATTGCTTGGTCAAATGGAGACGCTATTAGCGCATACTACATGTTTGGTGATGTAGTTTATTTCGGTACAACGTATAGGTCTATAACATATGGCATGTTTTTTGGGGCATGGCTTGGTATCAACAATCATGTTGTCTTCTTTGGTTGTGCTTTGCCGCACGACGAGACCCCGCCTGGGCATTACAGGTTTAACATCACAATACTATGTGATTATTCTTGCAATTCTTCTTTTAGATCCCTTTTTCTTTCCTTGGATACTCTGTTGACATCTTGCATTTTTGTCATCTATTCCTAGGTCTTTATTAGTTTATGAAAGGAAGTTTTCACAGACAATTATAACTGATATTGACTCAGGACTCCGAGATGCTATAAGAAGTGAACTACCAAATACAAAGCACATCATTTGTGTATAGTGTAGTAAGTTGCCTGGACTCTCTGAAAATATCGTCTAGTACATGTCGGATCCTCCAAAAGTAGTGCATTTTTTTAGGCTGTTTAGTTGGGGCAGCATCTTATATAAGAGGTTGTTTTCATGCACAAATGGTATCGGCGTCCTTTGTGAAATTTGTATATGCATTCTTGTTGTACATGGATAGGAAGAAGGATTTGCACATGGTGTTTATTGACCTAGAAAAAGCATATGACAAGGTCCCTAGGGAGATCCTTTGAAGATGTCTGGAGGTGAAAGGTGTTTCAGTAGCGTATATTAGGGTAATTAAGGATATGTATGAGTGATCTAAGACTCGGGTTAGGACTGTGGGGGTGATTTAGAGCATTTTCCAGTTGTTATAGGATTACACCAAGGATATTCTCTCAGCCCGTTCTTATTTGCTCTGGCGATGGACACACTGACTAACCATATTCAAGGGGAGGTGTCATGGTGTATGTTATTTGCTGATGAAATAGTTCTGATTGATGAGACACGAAGCGATATTAACGAGAGGTTGGAGGTTTCGAGACAGACCCTTGAGTCTAAAGGTTTCAAGTTGAGCAGGACTAAGACAAAATACATTGAGTGCAAGTCCAGCGGTGGGTCAGGAGAAGCAGACATGGACGTGAGGCTTGCCTCTCAAGTCATCCCCAAGAAAGTGAGCTTCAAGTACCTGGGGTCGGTTATCCAGGAGGATGGGGAGATTGACGAGGATGTCACACACCGTATAGGGGTGGGGTGGATGAAATGGAGATTAGCATCTGGCATCTTGTATGACAATAGATGCCTCCGGAACTTAAAGGCAAGTTCTATAGATCGGTGGTTAGACCAGCTATGTTGTATGGTGTAAAGTGTTGGCCAGTCAAGAATTTCCATATCTAAAAGATTAAAGTTGCAGAAATGAGGATGTTGAGATGGATGTGCGGGCACACTAGGCTGGATAAGATTAGGAATGAAGATATACGGGTGAAGGTGGGAGTGGCTCCCATGGAGTACAAGATGTAGGAAGCTAGGCTTAGATGGTTCGGGCACGTGCGGAGGAGAAGCCTGGATGCCCCGGTAAGGAGGTGTGAATGACTGGCCTTGACGGGTATGAGAAAAGGTAGGGGGCGACCTAAGAAGTATTGGGAAGAGGTGATCAGGCAGGACATGGGGCGACTGCAGATTTTCGAGGACATAGCCCTTGATAGGAAGTTGTGGAGGTCGAGCATTAGGGTTGTAGGTTCGGATATAGGAGGCTAAGCTGATAATGTTGTGTTTTACGCTGCTAGTGGCTCCACTTGTGTCCTTAGTACTTCACTAAGGTTGTAGGTTAGGTTGTAGGAATATAGTCTGGTAGTGATTTGTCTTAGGATGATAGTGGCTCTTGTTGCGTCCATATTACTCCATTGCGTCTGTAATATTGTGCCATTATTACTTCTTAGTGTTATTATTTTCCTCTCTATTTCTTGGTTATTGTGTTACTGGTGTTATCTTTTCTAGTTTCTTTTATTGTTACTGTTGCATAGTCTCGTTATAACGACTCGATTGGATGTTTTGAGAGTGTAGCCCC